CCTCTTCCTTCCAAGGCCTCTGTTCCTTCCCCTGTCACGAAATCCCCGTCGTTTTGGCCTGCTGTTCTTGACCTCGAGCGGGGAGCACTGCAGCCGAAACGACGGTTCAGCGGTCAACGGCGGCTATGGGGTCATGGGGTGTCCTTACGTCCTCTCCCTTCTTCGCTCCCTTCGCTCGATCTCTTGCAGTTCCTTTGCACGTCGAGGGACCATCTCCTGGTCTGAAATCGCTGCCATGCGCGGTTCGACCAGTCGGACCGCGCGCATGGCGAGTCCGCGGTCGGAGAAGCAGGTTACTGGTCACCCATGGTGATGCTTGGAGTTCAGCAAAGACAGTCTGGTCTGGTTTGTGGATCTGGATATGAACCAAGCACCGGGGGGACACTTCCAGGCGATGTTTTAGGAACTCTTTTCAGCCCACTCTCGGGGCTGGCTTCAACGCTTCCTCCGCTTCATTTGCGCAAGTCCTTCCTGGACTGCACGTTTGTCGGCCGGAAGTGTCTGATTCAACTGCCCCTTTGCGGCTTTTGGTGCAAACTCTGCAAGGTTTTTTGTTGTCAAGAGAATCGTTTTATTTGGATGATCGGATACCTTGAAATACTTTGAACCCCCTTGTATTTTGTAATTCCTCAAGAAGGCTGTTCAAAGGGTGACTTTTCAAGGTAACTCAAGACATTCACAAACCCAACAAAACCTAAAGATTTCCTATAACTCTTGAGAGTGAAAACCTTTGAAAAATGCCTTCAATTGGCTGCAGCAGGGTTCAAAGCTTGGTCCAATGCCTGGCTCAATTCCTATTGGATTCAGTGGCACTGGGCTGCCTCCTCATCAAGGATCAGGAGGAGGAAGAAGATGATGAGGTTAAACTTAAACCCCTCTTTTGAACTCTATTGATAGAAGAAGAACTGCGTTGGACTTCCTGAGGCTGTCTGAGACCACCGTAAGCTCTCGCTTGCACTCGAAAAGAATCCCTGTGGACTGCACCCAAAGCAGAGGGTGGGGCCAGAATGCCTTTACCAAACTTGGTGTTGTTGCAAGCCAAACATGCGCCGTATGCAAAGTATGAGTATGCAGCAACCCAGTCTAAGATGAGGCCCCGTGCCGCCCCGTTGGCTCGGCACAACACCATCTACGTCGTGCCGACGCGTGGCGAAGCCTTTCGCCTTGGCAGTACTGGGAACTACTCGGTTTTGCTTCGGGCTCTGGAGCACGGCCCAGAAGCACGCCCTCCTCCTGCTTTGCCAAAACTGCAAGCGGGGGAGGGGTGCTTTTGCAGTGGTTGCACATGCTGCAGGCAGCCCAGTTTGCGAGCATTGACGGTCCGTTGAGGAGATTCTTGCGTCTTCCACCCTTTTCAGACATCCGTTTGGGGGCACCTGTTTTAGGAAACTCTCGTGCGGCACTCTTGTAAGACAATCTTGCGGGACGCTCCAGTTTGACACCGCCAGGTTGGATAGCAACACCGCTGGTTGTTTTGAAGCAGGCGTCGCCTGGGAGGTGTCACACAGGAAGTCTCAAAGGAGCATACTCGCTTGAAAGCTTTGGTTGCCCAACGAATTATCCACCGCCTGCAGATCAACATGAATCGGAAAAAATGCTACTGTATCATTTGTATCCCCTTTGTGGTACAGCTGTCACCACACCATGCGCCATTGCCAAAGTTTGGCCCTATATGCAAACCACGTTGTGCAGCCTTCCCGCCAAACATCAGCGTCGACGGCCCGGCACTTGTGTAAAGATGACGGAATTTGGCACATCTTCGGTCGTGGTGGCCTGGTTGATCGTGTGTTGTGTTCGACGAACATGGTGAGCTGGCCCATCGGTCGCTGGGGAGGCAATGCGGCACAGATCTGTGTCTCCAATGTGGTGGGTGCGCGGGCTACATGTCTGCAAGTTGCAGCACGAACGAAGCTGCCCCAAAATCACCGTGACAAACGTTTTGTTTCTAGCGTCCTGCCGCTTACGCCAGCACCTATTCAGAACGAATCCTTGCAAAGTAAACGGTAAACCTAATGGCACTGTGACAAGCAACGCGTGCACAAAACCCAGCAGCGAATGCAAAAACGACGCAAATTCACGACAGTTGACAAGCAGGTACGGTGCAGGACGATGCCATGTCACACCCAAGGAAGCCACGTCTGTGGCCTTTTTACGGAAACGGGTAAAGGATTTTCGTTTCTGTCCGCCGTTCGCGAACAAATCATTGTCCATGGAGCGTCGGGAGGTTAATGTGCGGAACTCAGGGGTTCGTGCTACACATGGCGCCACGCAGACGAGTTTCTTGCAACTCCTGTGCCTTTGGATGGTGTTGAGCGTGCGCTTTGCGTTTTTAGCTATCAGCAATGGCCCACGGCCCGCTTCATCTCAATATGGTTTCCTTCTTCATTGGTTCGACGTCTGCCACGGAAATGTGTGACCTTGTGGCAAAGGGCACTTTTTGTTCAGCTTCCTTCACGTGCCCAACCGATACCCTCAAACACCAGGGCCCGGAATGGGGTACAAAAAGGTCTGGAATGGGCACAGTTTCATGGTAGACATTTAGTGGGTGACTACTGTAGACCCTGTGTAGTTGAGCTTGAAAATGCGTGGCCGTGAAGTTGGAATTGTTTTTTCCTAATCAGTGTGAACACACTTAGGGGATGTTAGGGTTCGGGCGTGGGCGGCTAATTCGCTTCTATTTACAGTGCATTCATGCCACTCAATATCCTCGAAATGCATTTCGGCTGCGCAGGCTCGCGAAATCTGCGTGGGTGCGGCGGGTGCTTCTAGCGACAGCGCTCTCGTTGTGGTGTCATGCGCATTTTCGCACATGGTGGTCATTTTCGTGGCAGGTGACAGGGAAACCTCGTGTTTTCGTGGTTCAAAGCCGACTTGTCGTGACAGGCGCAAGGGATCAAAGCGGTCTTATTTGGAAGTGTAGATTTCCTGGCAGGTACAGCACTTTGGACATGGTGGTGATCTTCGACGAGCTCTGATTTTCCTGCCAGGTGCTGTGAAGCGTGACTTCTGGAGATGTCGCCCTTTTGCAAATTTCGTGGCAGGCGCAATGCATTGCGAACCTCGAATTGAAAATGTCGTGACAGGCGAAGCACTTTATGAACTTCGAAGTGCAGATTTTGTGATAGGCGCAGCACTTTGTGAACCTTGAAGTGCAGATTTCGTTCAGGTTCCGTGAAACGGGCAGCACTTTAGGAACGAAGTGTATTTCGTTCCAGGCGCATCACTTTGTGAACCTCGAAGTGCAACCTTTAGCGGCAGGCGAAGCACATTGTGCAGTGTAGATTTCATGCAGGCCTCTCGCTCTCACTCGCTCTCACTCGCTCTCACTCGCTCTCACTCGCTTTCACTCGCACTCAGAGTCACAGACTCACACACGTTCACCCTCATTCACTCTCACACTCACGCTCCCTCTCACTGTCCCTCGTTCTCTCACCCGCTCTCGTCCACACGCGCTCCCCTCGCTCGGTCGCTCGCCCACTCACTCTCAGGCACACGCGGACATTGGTTTTCAGGTCATTTACTTCCAAGTGGAAAAAGGTGAGGGAACGGAAAGGTGGAAGAGTCCGCAGAACAGTATTGTTTAGCAGAATGACACGCGTGACTGCAGAACACTAGTTACTGAATACTTAGCAGACCTAGGAAAAGAAAGAGTGAACCCAAAGGCGACGAGTACGAGTACTTGAAGGTGTTTTAACAAAGGTTGACGCGTGACTGCAGAAAACTCATTACTGAACACTTAGCAGACCCAGGAAAGGAAAAAGTGAACCGAAAGGCGAAAAGTGTTTTAACAAAGGTGGACGCGTGACTGCAGAAAACTAGTTACTGATTGCTTAGCAGACTGAACTCACGCCGTGCAAGGAAACCTGTTTTGGGGGATGTCATGCGAAGAACCACCATGGAAACAAACCAACAGCGGCAAGGGAAGTATCGGTGGTGACCCGGCCCCCTGCCATGACAAGTTGAAACTTTTAGTTACAGAGGTGGACACACACACACACAGAGGGCCCATATCGGCGCTCTGGAGGAACTTACTAAACATGTACAAAACCTTTGAAGGAAAGACAAGGAAACACAAAAAGAGCAAACGAAGAGGGCAAGAGAGAAAAATAGGAGTAGTTACGAGGCCCACTTGTTATGAAACCTTCTAGTTACTGAAAATTTAGCCGAAATGAATTAAATTCATGAGTTAGCGAGCGGGACATTCGTCTTAAACCGCCCGGGTGGCTAGGAGTAGAAAAGGAGAAACAGAAGGAAGGGTACCGACACACAAGTGTGTCGAGTACCATTTCCTTCTGTAACCCTGGCTAGCGGGTGGGATAGAAACATGAATTCGGTTGTGGGGGGGGTGCGTGGAGGTGCATGTGTGACACATATACATGGCCGTAAGCCCGAAGGTGAGTCGCATGCGTGACACATATACATGGCCGTAAGGAACTGCACAAAATGCGACATCAATCACATGAATGCACCGGCGGAAATGTTGTTGTGGGCCCGACGGCATAGGGTTTTGTGGAACCCAGGAGTGAAACAGAGTCCGTTAAGAGAATCCAACGTGTGCAGAACGGAAGAAAACCAGTGAATGTTAATCCGGAATGAGGACAGCGCTCCCTTGCGGGAGATCACACCCAGCACCCAAGTGGGACGACTGAGCGGTTCACACTTTGACATTGGTTTTCAGTTAATCTATTCCCAAGTGGAAAAAGGTGAGGGAACGGAAGGGTGGAAGAGTCCGCAGAACAGTATTGTTTAACAGAAGTTTACGCGTGACTGCAGAACAATAGTTACTGAATACTGAGCAGACCTAGGAAAGGAAAGAGTGAACCGAAAGGCGAAGAGCCCGAGTACTTGAAACTTGAAGGTGTTTTGACAAAGGTTGGCGCGTGACTGGCAGAAAACTAGTTACTGATGACTTAGCAGACTGAATTCACGCTCTGCATAGAAACCTGTTTTGGGGGATATCATGCGAAGAACCACCATGGAAACAAACCAACAGCGGCAAGGGAAACCAGTGGAGTCATTGCGTTTGATGCAGGTACACGGTGGAGCGTCCTACTCGCACGCTCACTCTCAGCCACGCCCGCGCACAGACAGTCACAATCACCCCAAACCCATGACCGCGTGAACCCCCATAAGGAAAGCGCAGAGGAACCAGAGCAAGGAATGTGGAGAAGAAACACGCTTACACGATGCTTTCATGGATGGGTTTTGGATGGTAGGGATGTATCCGGAAGAAACAGCTAGAACCCATAGCTGGAGTTCCCCCAGGTGGTCTAACACCTAAACGCGTTTTTAGCCCAGTCCCTAGACTCCACAATTGGGGGTCTACAATGCAGCCACCCAGAGTCCGTAGAAATAGTTGACGGTATCCCATGAGGCCCGCGGAGCTTCATCAAGCAGCCCTGGCCTTGAAGAGTCAAACCACAAGCAAAATCAAAACCAACGAACGCCATTGTTTGGCTGTGACAGAGGTTGACGAGCTGACATCTTTGGTGGCCGATGCTGAAACCGGCATTGCCCGTCAAGATTTGGACCAGGCCCTTGTTTTTGAACAACATTTTGCACAATTCAGTGCCTGGCCTTTGACACAGGCTGTGTGCCAGGAATTGCTGCTGAAACTGGCGGCTTCTGGGGCAGGAACCCAAATTTGGCCCCTTGTGACCTGGTGGGGGCACAGCCAATAGCAGTGATGGAAAACTAAGGATGCCGTGCGGGCATCGTCATGGTTGGGGCGAATCCGTGCACATCTTACAACACAAGTTGGAACTTGAACGTTTGGAAATCATCATGTGTGGCTTTCACGAGGCCAACATCGCGTGGATGTGACCCCAGATTGTTACGAGGCCGTGCCTGCAAACATGGAAACCTACAACAACCCAACACGTACCTTCACTCCATGTATTTTTATAATTTCGGATTTGAACCGTTTGGACTATTCCAGGGTCGTTGTTGAGCAGCTCGGCCTTTAGCCAACCATTCTTATCGACATGATGGGTGCTGCGCAACGCATCCCATGACTTGAACGAATGTCGATAAAAAGGCAATCAAATGCTTGTGTTTGCTCGCGCGCGGTGTTGCCAGGCCGTGATTGCCGCCCAGTGCGCCAAAGGCTTGCCGGCCCAGGCCGAAAGTACTCTCGAGGCGAACCGTGGGATTTGCCAAGTGTGTGGTTTCAAGGTGATGCCGTGAGTCATGGGGCATGATTTGGCATGACCGTGCAGAAAGACCGTGTTCGTATGGCTTTGGGAGGGTATTTCTTGACCTGTGCCGGCAGCGACCAATCACCTCAATCCTTTGATGTATGCAAAGGCTGCAATTTTGTGAGGTCCATGCCAAAGAGCTGGCAGTGGTTTGGAACTCAAAGATGTGATTGTGTTGGCCGGCACCCGGGCCAGCGCACATCATTTGGGGGTTGGACCTATAGAAGTTCGCGAGTGATTTTAGCGGGTCCATGTGCAGGGTCCAATGGATAGGTTGGACCAATGCCAACGGGCATCTTTCGATACACCCACCTCCAAACCTGAGGCGCCTACCAACCCACAGCCGCAATCCACAGCTGAGGACGGGCAGCGACCATCCAGCGCTCCCTACGGTGCATTGGTGCAGGCAAGCGTTTGTAGCAAAACTAAGCAAAAGTGCGAGTGAGTCCGCGTGAGTGAATTTGGATGGGCGCGGACGCTCGAGGCATATGCAAAGCAGGGCGACCTTGAAAAGGTGCAGGAACATCTTAGCGCCATGTGGGGCCCCAAGTGCGTACAGCCAGCTTGCATGACAAGGGGAAATTTTTCAGTCTGAAGTCCATAGGTCCATAGAAGGTGACCACAACTGTATTCCTTGATTGTGTGATGCAAGGTTGTGAAAGTTGGCAGTGGATGCCCCCGTAGGATCAAACGTGGACAGCGGATTGTACGCCTAATTGGCCCGTTGCCCACATAATATATATTAGTTCCTAGAGGGCTCAAATCGGACCAGCAGATAGCAAGGAAGAGTTTGGGACTCTCCATCGACATGCCCGCAGCTCAGAACGCTGCGGTCGATGTGTTTCAATGGTGACTGTATTCAAGCATCGCATCGGGATGTTGCAGACCTAGAAATGTTCATTTCGAGCACCCTTTCCATTGCATCACTTGTTCACATGTGTTTCGCCCTGCGAATGTCGCATTTGTCACTTGTGTGCTGTGGTTAGGAAGGGGGCGCCCGCCCCCAACCATCGCCACGCATCTCCTCGTGCCTGGGGGGGCGTGAGCGACCGGTGTGCACCCGCAGCGGTGTGTTGAGGCCTAGCTATGCCGCGGCCATCGAAGCCTGGGTCCGGACACTCGAAACCGTTGCCAAACACAGTTTTTCTTGTGAGTGAGTCCCAGCTCAAGATCATGGTCGTTGAAAGTGGATGTGATCAACACCCTGACACAAAAAGAGGATATGGAAGTTGGGAAGGCAGATACGGCGTCTCACCGCCAGCATCGTCAACCCTTCGTAAACCCCATGATGGACACCGCCAAGGTTGCCCCATTCAAAGATGAAAATGGTCAGAAAACTTTTTTCCATGCTTTGCCAACCTGTTTCCCAGAAACCCCTTTGTTGGTACATCAGCCCATCAATCCTTGCATGACCACTAGTTGACAGAGCCCCTGAGGCCAAGAGGGGCGGATGCGATGCCGCTCGGAGGATCCTGGATGAGGCGGTGGCTTCAGGCCAGGCGGCACCGGCCGTGCGGGAGGGACGCATGCCCTCTCTGCACCAGGCCCTGGTGGAAACTGAGCACGTTTGTCATGTGCGGACGAAACGTTGGGGAACTATCATGGAAGTGGACAATGGGTGGGAAGTATGTTTGCCAGCAGGTTTTTCCGCGTCCATGTTTGGTCCAGGGAGGGTCTCCTGTTTCCTTTTCCTTTGCCCTCCAACTCTTGAATTATGATTCCTCCGGTTTGTGCGCCCCTAGTTGCTGAGATGGACTACGCCTGTGTGGACGGAGGTGAACCAAAAAGGAACGGCGGTGTTGACCCAACATGGCACATGGTAAGATGATTTTGGAGTCTTCGATCTCCACCAGGTCTACACCCCAGCCGCGGGACCTTCACGGCGGCGGTCAGTGCCTATACCAAGGAGATCGGGCAGCGCGTGGATGGTGAAGGTGGTGAAGGTGGTGAAGGTGCAAGACGTCAGACATGTACAGATTAAGAGTGATGGGCACATGCAACTGCAGGATTTCATCTTTTTCCCGGGTGGTGCGGGAAGGGGTGCACGATTGGCTGCTCTGCGAGTCACGCTGCGTATCGCCAGCCGTGTGGTCTGACACTGAAATCAGATACATCTCTACTCCGTGGCTAGGAGTCCAGGCTTGCCGAGGCGGTGGCGGCCCCAGCAAACAACTGGGGATTGCCGGAGCCGACGAAGGTTGGGCGGTTGACATGGATTCTTCGCCGAGGAAGCGATCATGACAGCCATGCGCGCCGCCAGCGTCGCAGCCTTGATCCAATCACTTTGGTTCAAAGATGTTCGGACCTAACCCGAGAGCTTGGTATGCCCTGCCTATGAGTGTAGCAGGTTTAGAGAAATGTCCTTGCATGGAGACGAGTCCTCCATGGCGACTGAGGTCGATCCAGATGTGTCCTACTTAGAGTTTGGAAGCGCGAGGCTGTTGGCTGCTGTGACATTCTGCTTGAAGAGTGTCATGGCTACAAACTGATGGTGCTTTCCGTGCCGTGAATGCCAAGATGTCACACCTGACAGATATTTTTCATCCTTTTGAAGCCTCCCAGGCCTCCCAGACTCCCAACACCTCCAGCCACACTCTGAGGCAGACACCTGGGCATGGCTCCTGGTGGCCAGCCCGGACCGCCCAGATCCCGCAGATCCGCTCCCGCTCCGATCCCCGGCTCTGGGAGCGTCGGTCGGGTCCAGGTACCTCCTCCACGAGCCGAACGCGTCGGAAGAACAGCTTCACCAGCCCGGAGGCCATCTTCAAGCAGATGCTGGCCAGCGGTGTGGCAGGGAGACCCAGGGAGGACCTGTCGGGAGGACCTGGACCTGAGGACCTGAGGACCTGAGTGTCGTTCAGTGTTGACGCTTGATTGACGGTTCTCTTTTCGACGCGCTCCCCCCCTTGTTGCCGGGGTGGTCAAGAGGACAGCCAGACTTTTTTGCTTTTGATGGGGGGCTGCATTCACAACATGAGAGAAGCGAGGAGCAGACGTGGGACAACCATGAATCCATTATAATTATAATTATCACGGCCAAGTGATCTTCATCCATGGTGACAGAAGAGGCTGAATCCAACCAGGGAACTCATGCATCTAGATCGGTTCCAGATGGTGCTGTGCTGGTTTCATGTCCTCATCCATTCTTGCTCTTTCCTTTTAAGGGGGTTTCTCCGTCTCCATCAGGTGTTCTCCAACGTTTTGGCGCAGGATCTTTTCTTGCTCTCCCCGCTTTGGAGAGTCTCCAGTTTCGTGGTCCGAACGCTCCAGGTTTGCAGGTTCTTTCGGGGTGTCCGAACACCCATTCCCAACCCTCCACGCCGCTCCTGACCGCTCAAGGCCCCGAACGCCTTCGTGCTGCGCGCGCTGGGGAGGGCCGTCGGCCTCGAGAGGCACCACCGGACCGGCGCGGTGGGCCTTGTTCGCACCAGTGATCCAATTCTGTGGTGCCAGAGCCCGCTCATCTGTGACTGACTCATGACTGGGATCCGCTCTGGGATTTCGAGGTCCAGCTGGAGGTCCTGCTAGCCTCCTGGTGTTCTTTTGTCAGGAACCTGTGCCTGAGGTTAGAGGCAGCACTTTTTTTTGGGACTTGGCAGTATCACTACGCATTGTCTCACTGTCTCAAGATTGCATGAGTATTTTTTTTCCTCTCGTTCTTTCTTGCTTCAAGTGAAGACGGGGTGGGGGTCCCCCCAAACCATCCTGGAGCAATGAAAGAGTGACGCACCCCCAGCACCGCAGCACAGCACCCCCGATTTCGGGGTGGCTTTTTGTGGGGATTCCCAATGCCATCGTCAGCGGGGGGTGTCCAAGAAAACCATCCGAACTCCGGGGGTTCCCGGACTTCCCGTCCCATCCTCCAACCGAGCGGCGCGCGGCGTCGCCCCTCGCAGGCGGGAAGAGCTCTGCAAGGAGTTCCACCTGGACCTTTCCGGGGTTCCCAATCGACGCGTCAGGAGTGCATGCCCTTGGATGGGAGGTAAGCTGGAGAGCTGATGGAGGGTTTGGGTGGAAGTGGTTTGGAGCTTCCCTGAAGAGGTTGCAAGTAGTATATAGTAATCGTTTTTGGAGAAGCTGGGGATATGTTCGACATCAGGGTGCATAAGGCCCCTCCTAGCCTAATGGTTTGGAGTTTGGACCGGGCCACTGAGGGCTGGGAGCCTCCCGGAGGCTGTTTGGAGCGACCCGCGTGATGCGTGGCGCTCGCCGGGGCGATCTGCGTCGCCCGCTCCTCGCTGGACCTGAAAGGAAATATCCGGCCCCGGGCAGGGAGGGATACGGATCGATGGCCATGTGAGGCGCTCTCCCAGGCTGGGACGAAAGGACATGAAAGACTTTTGTGTGTCCTCTCCAGCCTCTTTCATAGAACATCCAGGAGCCATGTTGAAGTGAAGAAGCAGAACTTTACTGACATGTTACTGTCGGTGGTGCCGGCAGCGAACGGCCCATTCGCGCGCTGCACGCATTGTGGCCCGGGTCGGGTGTCCGTCCACCAGCTGCAGGTCATGGGTGCATGGCCGAGGACTGGGAGAAGGCCTCAGTCTCGTAGAAGTCCAAGTCCCAACGCATCTGAGGCTGTCCACGACTTTCTACTAGCGAGTGAACTGGTAGGAATCCTCATGAAGGTCGCTTGATCACGAGTGAACTGGCGGCAGGAGCCTGTGAGCCGTGAGGTTGCTCTACGAAGTGCTGGAGGCCAGGATCGGGGGGCAGAAGAGATCCTGCACGAAAAGCTCGAGGTTTGAAGGTCATTGGAGTGGCTGGTCCTCAGCGCGTTCCCAAACAGAGGACCACCCTGCTGCCATGAAACCCGGTCAAGGCACTCCGTGCGAAGCCGAGGCCCCCGGCCGGTGACCGGCGTGGCCGGCGTGGCCGCCGGCACCAGTCCGGCGAGGCGGCCCAACACCAGCCCGGCCACATGACCGGGGTGCCCAGTGGTGACGGCGAAGGGATGGAAGGTCGGTGAAGAACTGATTGGAGTTGATCAGAGTCAGAGCCAGAGCTTGGGCAAGGAGACATGAGGGAACACCTACCATCACACGGGTTGTTCATTCCATGTAGATTCTGGGCCTTTCCCAATGTAGAGAGTTCGTTTGGTGCCGGAGGTTGGTCATTAAGCCAGACTGGGGCCCTTTGATCCATTGCAGTCTATGTGCTCCGACTCCTTGAGCTGCAAGTGACGAAACTCCTGCTGACACGACCTGGGTCGACCCCGCCGATCGTTCTTCCGTTCGAATCGTGGCCTCCCATGCTGGTCGCTTGCCCCTCGTGGTGTTGAGGTGCCTTTCCGGAGAAGCACTCGCCGGTGATCAACGTGTGTGAAGCTAAGAGGAGGAGCAATTAGGCAGGATTATAGTGGAGGTACTTCTACCGGCTGGAAGGCCACTAGTTTTCAATCTTGATGGCTTTGCCTTTCAGGATTTTCGACACCATGACCATAACACGAAAACCGAACTTCTTTCACATGCGTGTAGTTGTTAGTAGTTAGTTTAGCGTCCATGACTAGGTCCACTCAAGCCTGAAGAAGTCGGTTGCTGACTTTGGAAACAAAAAACGGGTTTCTACAGCATAGCACCAGTTGCATCTGAACTTCCAAGGCCTCGGACTGTGGCCATTCGCTCCCGATGCCTGTCGACGCCCCAGAGAGCTGGTGAAATTCCGTTCGGACATGCCTTTTCTGTCTCCCTGGCTGGGTCAGAACGAGAGCGGCCCACCCACCCAGTCGGCCGTGCAGGTCATGTCCGGTCCAAGTCCCACCTGACCCTTCCCCCCCTCCGCCAGCGGCGACTTTCGAGCGGCCTCTTTCTCGGTGGGAGCGGGAGCCAGGATGCAACGCACACCCGGTGGACCGGTGCGCGTGCCGCTGCCCAAGGAGCTGGTGCCGGTGCGGAGCCCGGGAGGGAAGGGAGGCTCCAAGCTCCAAGCTGCAAGGCTGATCATGGCAAGCATGGCAACCATCCACTGCAGCATCTTCAGTGGGATAGGTTCTGGTCCAACATTGGAGATGGCATCACCTGGAACGTGATGTCTCGGCACCATCGTCCTGTTGCGTTTCTCAGATGATGGGCCGCATGGTACATGGGGTGCCGCATGGATGAGGTCTTGTGCCGCATGGAGCATGACAACAACGGTTGGGGCCTTGGGAGATGTGACCTGCCGTTTCTGCCGAGTCTGTCAGCTTGGACAGCACATCCGAGCATCAGGTAGAACTAATGAGTGACACATAAGTTGAAAATTCCACCGCCACCTGAACTGATTTTTGGGACGGCAGTTTCGGGAGCTGGACAGGGCTCCGCTCTAAGAGTCGGACCGCATTTTGCTTGGAGCTTTTGGGATCAAAGGAGTTGACGGTGCCCCGACCCCTTTTTCTCGCAGAGTTTGCGTGAGCCATGTCCTTCCGTGGCCTTCTTTGCGTGGCTTGGTTGGACTTTGAGAAGCCATGGAAGTTGGCAACAGGATGCAAAGCGATTTAGAAAGTAGTAGGCGCTGAGGTTTTTGGGTGGTGGATGGTGAACTTCATTGGTGGCTGCTAGGGTGACATGCGGGGCAGCCCACATGAGGAGACAAAACGAAGCCTTCGAAGGTCGTGGTAGGTGGGCTTGTCTGAATCTAAGGGACTTCGTTTTCCACCTTCCGCCACCATCGGGAAGTGGAACGAACTCCCTTTTGCCCTTTGTGTTTGTAGAGGCTAAATCCTGTTCCAGCATCTTCGCTTGAGGTCGCCTTTCCCTTCTGGGCCTTGGGTGACGTTGCGCCACTGCTTCGTGGAAGTCAGTGCACCGGCACCGCCACATTGCCCAGCACACCGGCCTGCTATGGGGGCACTGTTTTGACCAGCTCCTTTTCGGTGAAGGTCGTCAGCTCCTTGGACGGAATCGGTTCATGGCAGAAACAGGGTGACCAAGTCCTGCTATGGAGAGGCGCGTTTTGTAGAGCTCTCATCAAAAGGGGGTCCTTTTTGCTGAAGTTACCGTAGGTTTGGAGGGATCAAGACTGATTTGGCAAGTTGCCCTGTAATTATATATATAATATTAAAATATTATATAATATATATATATATATATTATATATATATACATGTATATGTTTCTTTTTCTTTTTTTTGTTTCTTGAGCTTAACGGCCCCGGGTGTGACACCAGGAAATATCACAACGACGTCGTGGTTTTTTCCCCGCCCGTTGGGCGGTGTGAGTCGTGAAGCCCCAGGAAGACACCGCTCACGCGAGAATGGACGCCCCCAGGACACGATCAACGGATTCCACAGTCAGGCTAGGAGGAGCTTGCAGGTTTCCAGGTTCTGGTCTCCACGCCCTAGAAAACAAGGACTTGGAACCATTCAGCACAGACCACGGTGCACAGACCGGCTTCTTCCTCCAAAAAACTGCCCGAACGTCTCCGTCCGCCAGCACCCCCGAGGCGTGGACGGCGACGTGGGCGTCGTGGACCTGAAGGCCACGGGCGAGGCCTCCGCGGAGTGCGATGGCGCCCACTTCTCAGCCGACGCCTCGGGCGGCATCACCGTGGATGGCGAGGGCTGTGGGCTGAGCGCCTACGACTACAGCGTGCAGTACTGTGGCCCGGTCGAAGTTTGAGAGGGCGGCAGGCCCGGTAGGCTTGAGGCGTGGGGAACTTAGGGACGAGGTGGAGGACAACCAGGTTGAACCAAACGAGATCTTGAGAAGGGATGCAGAGATCAAGGTGGGATGGACCTCTGGCCCTTTGCATGTCTTGGTCATAATGCTTAGCCCCACCGACGTGGCTTCTGGCCGCGGATCATTTTCCCAGAATGATAGGGGAGAGCCTTCGCTGGCTCAGCTGGAAAGATGCTTTTCACTTTGGGAACTGCCCGAGGCTCTGACCAGGATAAGCTCATCGTTCACCTGCAGAAGCCCACCGAGATCTCTGTGGTCCTGCCCAGTCAGCCCTGCCCTGGAGAGGTCTAGAGAGCGTCCGCAGCGCAGCCGCGGGCTGCCGCTGTGGCAGGGTTGGGTACCACAGCTCCCGGCGTCTACCGACGCCTCAAAGGGGGGAGGTTGGGTCTTCTTCAACCCCGGCCCAGAGTCGGCCAGAGAGAGAGAGAGTTGGGTTGCGTGACCTGGGCACCCCATCTCCTTATACTACCAATTCGGTGCAAGCCCTTTGGCAATAAAACGATTGCTTTCACGGGCCTTGGGCCTGGCCTTCGACCGGCCTGGGTGCCGACCTGAAACGGCCGGACCCGACAGATCGATCCCGAACTCGGCGGAAAATCGGTGTGGTGGATGTCGGGGCTCCGGTCTCTGGAGGTCTTTTTCTATTTTTTGTTGAGGGTGGGTGAGAACAGATTAGTCTGGTATCCAAGTTGAGCATGTGTCGAACTACCAGCTACCAGTCAGAACCTTGAATTCCTCCTTGCTCGCCGCTACAGGAGAAGCTTTGCCCCCAGTTCTTCGTGTTTTATGACCTTTTCGAATCGGTTTTCGTCGGTGTGCACCGCCCAGGCGAAGCGAGCACCGCCCGCTCCAGGCTTGGAGGAGTGTTTGAAGAGCACCGCCCACCGAGTCATAGGGACTGACGCCGTGTTTCTGAAGCGGCGGCGTTGGCCAGTCAGGTGTCTGCACACCACCCACTTCGTTGGAGAGAAATCGTCACATGGCCACAGGGGGGGAGGACAGGGGATGGGAAAAACATCGGCTTTACCCGGCTTTGACCGGTTTGCTTGGAGGGATTATGCGAAAGTTTAGACTCGTCATGAGCCGCACACCCAATACAATGCCCGCGGCAGAGCGAACAACATGAACAACGACAACAGCTGCAGCAACCACTGACAGAGGCAAAACGAAAAGACGAGTCTAGAGATGACTTGCGTACCCAACTCATAAAATCTAAAGGCTCCTGGACCTCTAGAACATGTAGAACTTAAGTAGCCAACACTAAGAATCCTTGAAGCATCACTGAACAGATGGGTGACTTCGCATCCTCCTTCTTCGTCCACCGAGGCAGCAAGTGCCGGTGGAGTTGGTCTCTGCGCAGCCGCTGCCCAAGCGGCCGGTCACCAGCCGCATCGGTGCCGTCCCCAAGACGACGTGGCGTTTCCGCCGGAGCGGTGGAAAGGGGTGGGTGCTCGGTGTGTTTGTTCCGGAAGGCGGTGGAAGGAGGTGGGGCAATCCGCCACCGAAAAGGCGGATGCATTGGAGGGCTGGTCTCTCAGCTTCTCACCTCAGAGAGATCCGAGCTGAGAAGCTGAAGAGGATGCTGAAGAGCTGTTTTGGTCTCCAAAAGCCTATCCAAATGGTTCTTGGGTTCGGGGGTGCTCGTTTTGGACCTTGCAGGTAAAGCCTTCGGGCGCCCGTCCAAGCGAAGGTTTCGCGCCATGTTCGGTCCTTTTGCTTCTCATTCGCTCAGCTTGCCAGAAGGGCGGCGGGTTGTTCTATTTGTTTTAGCAGCCCTGCATCTTCATCCGTGCAGGCAGCCTGGCACATGTGGCGGAGAAGGCTTGGAAGCTCACGGAAACCCTTCTCTTTCACAGTGGAAGTGGGTTCCTCTGGCCGGAAGAGGTATGCTGAGGCAGTGTCGACAGTCAATCAGAGGGCCTTTTGGTCATTGGACAGATGGCAGCTCAAACGCAAAAGAAGGGTTGGACGCTTTTACATTCACGCCCTCAACAAAAACTATTATATAATATATATAATATATAATATATATATATATATCATAATATATAATATATACAGAGTAATACAGAGACAACCACACCCCGGTGATGGGATCTTAGATCTTCGACTCTTTGGTATATAGTATATGTTTGCCAGGAGGCCTCCAGACAGGAGCTGCCAATGCTAACTCCCGAGTTGCGGGCGGCCTGGGCCTGAGGTGACAACCACGAAGTGGGCATATATAGACGGGTGTTTTCCGGATCAAGAGGATAGGCTAGGTGATAGATACCCACAGCCACATGTAGCATTTCAGTGTTTGAAGTTCCACGTGTTGTAGCACTCCATGAAGTCTCGAATCCGAAGGCCCAATGGAGGACTGCATGCCCTAGCAACGTCCCTACGTCCTCCCAAAAATGCCCCCCCCCCCCCCCTCCAAGGAGTCGAACTTGGAGTGTTTTGGGTGCCCATGATCCACATCCACATCCACTAGATGGGACCCCAAACACCACCCCGGCCCTCGCTCTGTGACTGTGAGGATTTGAAGCAGAAGCTCGACAGCTTGGTCTCCGTGTGCCGCACGGACTTCAAGGCTCACGGACTTCAAGCGCCCGCGCGGAGCCGGTCCAGTCACCACGAGGGCGCTCACCGCCCAGAGGTGTCCGGTGGCTGGAGGTTTCAGATTGCGTCCAGTTGGGGCCCGCGCACCGTGTCATGGCCAAAGTTGAATTGAATGACACGTGTCATTTGTCCAATGGCCTCCGCCATCACCAGATAGTCACTGATAGTCACCGGATAGTCTTTGTGCCCCACACTACACCATGTCCCACCAAGCTTCGGCGCCGTCCCTTCTACCGAGCCGGCCTACCTCTTCGGTTGCGGTGGTTCGTTTCCTTCGCGCCGGATCAACGGTGGACGCTCGGGTCAGGCTCACCCCAGAAGCACGCGCTTCTTCTTGCGCGAGCTCTGGGATCTATGCCAGCTGCCGGAGGGCCCGAGAACGACGGGAACGGCCTCTGCCTTTCAATTTTCGGTCTCCGCAGGTCTGCCAGTGCGGGCCTTGAGTCTGCTTCCTATTTGCTCCACCGTCTCCAAGGAACCTAACTGCCTGGCTCATCACAGCTAAATATTGCATTATGGGTGAACTTATGTAGAGCAGTCGCCTTCATAAAGCCTCCCCCATCTCCAGAATGGTTATACAGTTATACGTCTTCATTTGTATAGGTCTTTTATTCTTCAACAAGTGGAGGCTCCAAACCCTCGCTGTCCGCCCGGTTTTGGCCTCCGGTTTGGGTGACCCGGTTTTGGTCACCCCTCCTCCCTCAGGCTCAAAGTGCCGGTGAGCAATCGACCGTACAGGCTGGAACCGAAGTCACGGAGTGAAGCGGTGCTGATGTGAACACGAGGAAGGGCGAGGTGCTGATGTGGATCATGCACAGGCTACAGGCTAGAGGCTAGAGGGTTCTTAAGACCAGAAAGGTGGTGCAAACCATGTGCTGGTGAGAGCGACAACCACTTCTTGCAGCAGCAAAGAAGTTGAAAGCTCAAACCAAAGCATTGACATGTGGATCAGGTTTAACCCGCAGCGGGTCACTGACCTCTGCTGGAGTTCCATGTCGACCCTGGGACTCTTGGGAGATTCACGGTATATACAACATCTTTTTCTTGAACTATGCATTTGGGGTATTTTGTCCAAGGATTCACTCACGTCCTTTTCGAGAGCCGACCCCCTTTCCCTTGGAACACCCGCCCAGGGCCGGGGCTCCTTCACTGGGATCAGGCTCCGGAAACCGACGCAGCGCCCCAGCTGCTCTTGGGCCCGGTGAGGCGAAAGCTGGCGGGCGCTTTGTCCCAATTTGCTCGGGAGCCGAAGATGTGACGCCCCCCGCGGCAGAGTCGGTTTCGATGGAAAGTAGGAGGCCGCCGTCTCCAGGGGGGGGGGATCACGGGCAGGAGGGGGTTGAAGGGTTGCACATGAAAAAAACAGGTGAAGATGCACATTATCAAGGAGTCTTCATGTGCTTTTTGGGTATATATTACTATATTACTATTCCAATTGGGCTCCGCGCCACCCCCAAGTTCTTGATCCACCAAGCTTGAGGTGCTGCACATTCCCAACTTCCTCCCGGCGGATTTGGCGCCCTCCAGTGCCGAGCTGCCGGGGACCCTGCAGCGCCTCGCGACGGGAGCGTGAACCGGTGCTTTGGTCTGAACATGAACCGTTGAACGGCCGCCGTGCCACCGTGCCACGGTGCAGAAGTGCCATCAGGTCTGAGGACTCCTTCTTGACCATGACAGTCCGGGACCTCACTGCCAAGCCATTGGGTGATGGAGACTCGCGGCTTAGGACTTGGGGTCGCTTGGTCTACGGTGACCACACCTTCTACGCGACAGTCGTCTCAAGTCGACTCGATCCCATCTCTCCGACCCTCCGATGAAGTTGAATGAACACCCGATGAGCCAACAAGGCGCTCCGTGGTGTTTCGGCCTCGGACTCCGTCTTCCTGAGGTGATGTTGGCGCTGGGGGCCATCCCATGGGAGTTCAAGTTCAACAGGCGGCTTGGTTGACTGGACAAACCTGTAAACAACGAATGAAAGAAAAACGACAAGGACAATAATTTCCAGGAAATTTAGATGTCACATCTTTGGATATACATATATCTCCTATCCACTTTTCCTAGAAGAAGAAATAAGAAGATATATTCATGATTCATGAACCTTATGCTTGAAGACAGTTGAATGAAAGACCTGAAAACCGAACTCCCTTAAAATGATTTGGTTTTGTTGTTGTATTCTTCTCATTCCTTGTGCTATTTACCTGTGCCTTTTTGATGGTAATATTGAAAAAAACCTAGCAAACCTTTCATTGGTGGAAAACTTCTGTTGTTGTGATGAATTTGTTTTAAATGTATATACACTCCCTGGAACTAACATGGAAGTGGACAATGGCCTTTTGGAAGACCATTTTCCTCTACAAGCAGGGTGTTTTCCACTTCCATGTTAGTTCCAGGGGGAGTATATATATATATATATACTGTATTTTTTTTTGTTGGGACCCTCGCCGGCCCACTCTTGTGAAGGACCTGTGTGGGGGGGATCGGTGTGTGATTTGGACATCGTGTCGATCGTGCAGTCACCTTCCTTTGCATTGCTTGCCATCTTTCCCACATGGGTGGGGCAATGCATGCCAGGGACACAAGAGAATCATCCATGTCCACCGAACAGTTGTCACCCTGTTCGTCCAGAGTCATATTCCACCGGCATGCTTGTAGATGTTTGTAGCATGCGGACCGGTCGACATCAGCACCTGAACCGCCTTGCCACCGCCCTGCCACCGCCCTCAGGGCTCATTACCGCCTTTGCAACTGCGCCTCCCTGGGGTCTCAACGTCTAAAGCTCAGCAAGTCTTGTCAAACAGCACCTGCCTGGCTCAAAGCTGACTCAACGTATCCATGACGATTCTGGGCATGGAAGCCACCCTTTTGGGATTGGAGCGGAATTCCGCGGATCTCGAGGGGGTCTTTTCTCCCATCTCGTGATGGGCCGCGTGATGGGCAGTGGCGTGTTCGGACTCCCTTTCTCGGCGATGTGCTTGCTGCCCTCGCGACGCTTGCTGGCCTCAGGTTGTCTGGTGCCAACGGGAGGAATCAGGTGGGGCACGGCCCGTGTGAGTGCGTCGCGAGATTTGTCAGCTTTCCTCACAGGGGTGGAACGGTTCTTTGCCATTTTTTGGGGTTCCGCTGACGAGTCGCTGGATTCTGGATGATTCTGCTGGAGAATGGATGTGGCCACCGAACGGACGACCTGCCGACCGCGCCTTGGCTTTGCCCATGGCCAGGAGCTCTGAATTCATGACCTCACGAACGCTGGTGGCCCAGCAGTTCCGAACGAGCTGGCCCGAAGTCAACTGCTTCGAGGCCACCACGATCCACGTGTAGGCCCCCACTGAGATGTGTGCTCGTTTTGCTCCATCTTGGAGGAACCTGGGAGGATGCCACCAGGTCCCTCTGCCACAGCTCCGCATGACCCCAGCCTCCTAGGCGTGGCCGCGCGGGGGAAGGCGCTGGGCCCGTGGGTTTGGTGCTGTGCTCCCCCCAAAACCATCATGCCTGGCAGGACAGTCGGACCCACCGTTGCGGATGGGAATCACATGTTGGGAAGGAGAAATCATGGATCCAACGTGATCCAACGTTTTCTTTCTGTTCTTGTGGGTGCAAGGCGATGGTCCGGTCTGCGCCTGAGTCAGTTCTAAGCTGCCATCACTGGAAAGAGCGACAAAACCTGGGATGTGAACTTACGAATCCGATCGCGATTGCAACTCCCTAGAAGAGGAAAAACTTGCATAGATCAGTCCAAGACACACTCACACAGATTCATCACCTGAGTTTTGCCAGTGGTCCATAGCTGATTCAATCATTCAATTGTAAATCATTGCACGACTTGATATATGACTTGTATGACCCAATATAACTCATTCTGCTGATTCATCATACTTCAATCAATTCATTAATCCCTTCGACCTTGGTGCCTGGTGGCACCGCCGGCCGCCCGCTCTTCTCTTAGGCACCGGCCGCCCTGCGGGAGCTCTTTCATCGCCAGGAGAACGCGGGAGCACCTGAAAACGGTGACCGAGTTAAATGGTGTCAAATGGTGGAGTTCGTAGTGTAGACTCTTGATTAATACGTAACACCCCCTATTCTCTGAAGAGGTTTTACAATGCATGCCTGGGGGGTGTTTGTTATGCAAGAGTTTACTGTACATTTATATAAGATAATTTAAGATTCCCCCCCACAGACTGAAACACAGGGAGCCGGTGGGCTACTTGCATCTCATTACCTAAGATCCAGGCAACGATACGATCATACACACTTGCTCAGGCAACTCCTGTTGATTTCTTGTGGTGAAGATGGGCAAGTCATCGATCTTGAGGAAAAATAATGTACTGATTCAGAGACCGCTCTTCATTGGAAATGGCTTCAGTGACGCCATCAACCCAACAATGTCCAGATAATGCGAACTTCAAACATGTACTGTATGCAGTAAGGAATTACTTGAATAGTCTCCAGTCTTTTCGCGTTCAGCGGAACAACTGCAGCTCACCAATTCATTTCCTGGTCGCCGCTGCTTCGTTACAGCTTTGGCTCAGAAGCGAGGAACCATGAAGTCCTCGACGATGGATGAACACTTCCGGATCTGAATTCATCATGTTGGAAATGCATCGCCACAAAGATACCAATCATTTTCACAAGAGGTACCATGTCAGAATACATCACCGCGGTTGCCAGCGCTTCCATCGCCTGGGCTATTTTCCTGTCGTGCGATCCGCGCGCAAGCTTGGAGGTGCTGGCCATGCACTAGCAGCGCGCTGGTTTTGCTTCCACTTTGCATTAGTCCAAAAGCTAAAAACAGGATCAAAGAGATGATCAAAAGGCCCAAAACGACCCACCAAGAAGGGCAAACACCATGCCCTCTACACGCCCAGATCCCCTCCGCGAGGTGCCGTCAATGGTGGGGAAGCCTCAGTGTTTCGGGGTGTTTTCTCCGACGAAGCAGAAGGGCAAGGGAGGCCCTTAGTGAGGAAAGCTGCCGTTGGTTTCCGCGTGAGGGGCCATTTTGCATCTTCCATGCTGAGAGAAAGTGTCCTGCAACTATGGCAAGTGGCCGTCACCACATTCCCGAAGCATGTCTAGGCAGTCGTTGGTTTGAAATCCATCGCCGTCCCTCGTTGTTCGCTTGACCGGCCTGGGGGTCGAGACCCAGGGGGCAGACGCCATCCTGAACGTGCACAGCCTTGTCAAGGTGGGTGGGGGGATCTGTGGGATTTGGCAGGTTTACCAGACATAAAGCAATTTAAAGCTGAACCGTGTTCGCAAAGCCAACTGGCCAAACACGGCTGCACAGTCTCAAACAACACTTAATTAAGGTATATTAAGGTGCCCAATTTTTGGTTGGTCCTTTTTCTTAACTTCTTAATCGCCGCCCTCGCACGTTTCCAGCCTCGCAGGCCTCAAAGGCCTCGCCCCGGCTGTTGGAAACCTTGAACTGGCACGTGACCACCGCGGGGGGTCTCGTCTCTTGGGGGGTTCGTGCGGGTAGCTGGGCGAGAAGGTCTTCCGGGTGTCGTGTCGTCCGTCGCGGAGAAGGTCAGTCTAAAAGAGGTGCCGAAGGGGGTTTTTGGGGATGGCTGAAGCATGGTTCCTCATGGCAATTGGCCGTTTCTCGGCCTAGGTGGGGCCATTTTAAAACAAGAGATGCCAAGAGGCTGCAGGTTGCCATCCACAAGGCCAAAGACACGCCCTGCCACCCGAGCGCAGTGCAGCTTCATGCCGAGGTTTACGATGTTCACGTGGGCACTCCCTTCAACTTTATCTATGATGTGCGGGACCCAATCGGGTTTAGATATATATATATATATGTTTAGATTGTGCTAAGCTCCGTCGCGGCCTTACAGGGTGTGCGACTGAAACAACGTTTCTTGATTTTCTTGTCGTCACACATCCTGCTTTCTCGGTATCAGCCCTTCTTCTTCCCTACCCCTTTGAGCTACCACGCTGCGCAGAAACTCCAAGCTGAGGTGTTACAATTCTCCTCAGGTCGAGACAAATTTTGCGCCTTGATGCAGGGTTACGCCAAGTTTGCGAGTGAGGTGCCCTGCCCTCTGTCTTTGTTGTCTCCGGAGTGCGGTGGTGGGGAGTCTTAACATTCATGGCTCTAGCACGAAGTGATGTAGATAAAGGTTGCCATTGGGGACGTCGATCTTCCCATTGAATGCCTCCACCAGTTCGACGAACTCCGCACAGGTCCTTGCAGCACCTGACAGTGAACGCCACTGGATGTACCGGGGAATCGAGGACCTTCGACCCGGGGAATCGAGACCCCGAACAGTCAAAGGGGCTGGGCTTGCAGCTTGTGGGGCTGGTGGTGCGGACGGACTTTCATGTTTGGCATCCTTTTTGCAGGACAGCTTGAGTGAAGGGCGCAAGATCTTCAGGCTGTTCAAAGAGTTCAGAGAAGTCTACAAGGCGCCACTAGAAGGTGTATACTACATCTCTCTCTCTCTCTATATGATATAAATATGTATGTGCTGTATATGCATGTGTACATGCTAACACATATCTGCACTGCACACATCTATCGTATGGGTGCCATTTCTGCGACGCGAGGTGCGTCGCGGCTGGAGCCGCTTCAGCTTGGGTGCCGACGAGGACGGCACTTGTTCGATCGCTGCCACCTGTGGGGTGCTCGACATGCGCGGGCCCTCGGCCGGGTCAAAAACGTGTATATGGGGCGATGGCAGGCGTTCGAGGTGAGAGAATGAGTGCAGCAGGTGTCGCATTACTTGACATTGACGACTTCCGATAGCGCACAGGTTTGGGGAAGTTGAGCCCCCCGTAGCTGAGGCTTGGTCACACCTGCTCCTTTTTCTACTACCTGGGCCCTGCCCTCAGAAGGGCAGCTTGATCCATTTGGACTGCAGGCTGACGTTTCTCAACCTCACCTCGTGTCAAAGCCAGCGATGTGCCACCCCTCGGAAGAACAAAAAAACGCCAGCACCGAACCACCGAACTAGAAGGTCCGTGGAGGGCTGCTCACCTCTCCTTCCTCCCCGTTCCTGCCCACCTCTCGTGCTGAACCTGAGTGACCCGAGCGGAGCCCGCGGAGGTGACAACCTCCTGTGGGCCGCCTCCGTGGGGCTGGTCCGCTCCAAGGAGGTGCCGAAGATGCAGATGAGGCGCGGTGACGCGTCGCGTGTCGCGCGTCGTGGCGCGGTGACCGTGAGGTGCGGAGCGAGAGACGAGTGAGCGCGCTTGGCGCTCCCGTGGATCTGATGAAAACACAGGTGCTTCTTTTTTCTGGACTCGACTGATGCTTCAAAAATGGTCAGGTAGGGCGTTTTGAGTTGGCAGACCCCCTTTCAGAAAGTAGGGGGTTGGATCATATGGCGGGATCGTGACGCCCCAGCTGCCCTGCTTTCCCATGGTCCTTTTGGGGGTCCTGAGACCGCACGACTCAGCTCGCCAGGATGTGGAAGGGATTCCGCCCCTCGGCCAATGCTGAGTAAGTCCTTCTGTTGGGGGCGGTGTGCCGTGCCGTGATCCAAAGCGAGCCCTGTCGGGTCAATCCAACACGAAAGGCTTGGAGAGAGAGTCTTTGGGACCCTCAATGTCCAGCTTTGTGCTTTCCTTGCCATGCCGACCCGGCGCCGACGTAGACGAGGCAAGAACGGCGCGGTGTTGAATGCACTTGGCGGAGTGAGCAGCAAGGGGGCCCAAGAGGGTTTGCATGTCTAGAATGATCTCAAGAGCAGACTATCCCAGACTGCTTTCCATTTGTTCTGGGATTAGTTTTTGGAGGACTTGAGGCGGTCACGAACTTCGCTTCCACACCTCCACCGTTTCAAACCCCTCTTGCTCGCCCGCTTTCAAGAAGTCCTCGCGCCCGTCCTTGCGTGTTCAGCCACTGCGCTCCGCTGACCCCGCGTGCCAGATGTGAAGCGCAAACGCAATTGGGCATCGATTTGGCGGCTGCACTTTGCCATTTGCCGGGGGGCCCGGGACCTCCTCTCTCCCGTGCGCCGGCGCTGGCGAGCGAGCTGCGAGCTTTGGAGAGCGAGCGGGCCGACATCGGAGAACATGACGGGAAAGACCCCCAGCACAGCGGCAGCAGTGGGATTTCATAGTATAATCTATTTGACCAGGGTTTTCTTCAGGGTTACCCCTGTTTCAAGACCACTAGGGCTTGTGATCGGCCCCACACATGGGATCTGGTGCAATGCTTTGCTTCAACCAACCACTTCCAGATCGGACCATCGTTGAGGTGCCAACATCCTTCTCTTCTACAAAGCCATGTGCCGACTGGGATTGAAACGCCGCCTGGTAGCATGGTGGCGCCATGGCATGGCCAGAGGCGGCCCATGTGGAGACAAGTATTCTCCACTGAAGGGGTAATTGATATATACATATATATATATATACATACATACATACTGTATATATATATATATACTTGGTTGGGGCTTCAAGTGCCTTTTCATTTTCTCGTATGACTCTGACTGCTTTTTAAAAGCATGGGATGGGGAATGATGAGGATTATGATTCTGAAGGACTTCTGAAACTTCAATCCATCAACTAGTTATTGATGATTTTTTCAAACACGGGCATGTTGTGTCCATTGGAGGAAACATACTGGTCGTCTCTTCCCTCAACTGCTCAGGTTTGCAGGGGCCAGATGCGGTGACCTCAGGATGAGAGCGCCAAGAAAAAGAAGCTGTGGGTCAACTACTCCATCTTCTACCCTCCCATGTGTTGCATTCTGTCCCTCAACCGCTCTCAGGATGCACGACTCTTCCATACCTTGGAGATCATCGGCATGTTGGCCAGTTACCGGGTGCTGCTCAGTAAGCTCAACATCATGAAAGCCTCACATGCCAGGCGGCGCTCTCAGCCGTCCCTCGCACGCGCATACACGCGTGTATTCGTCGGGCGTAGAGCTTGCCGGCTCGATTTTGTATTTTTGTTTTGTTCAAAGGAGGCGTCCAAAAATACGCTCCACAGATCGCGCTCCAGTTTGGCACCAAAGCCCAGCAGTGGAAGTCGCCA